CAATTTTTATAATATTAACAACATATAGATGAGATAAGAAGGGTAATATTCAAATGAAAAAATGTCGTGTTGCAAACGAGTTATCCATGTGTAGTCCCGAAATTACCTAATTTGAATTAACAGTTAAAATATAACTGTAAACCTTCAAATATCCGTGCCGGGTAAACTTAAAATAATGCGGTAGTCCATCAACCTTATCATCTCCGACAAAAAAGAATGTCACTCAAAAACGCGCCCGGTCAGGGGTCCAAAATATTTAAATATAATAAATGGAAATGAATTCGTACATCAAAGTTACAAAACGTGCAAAAATATATTAACATGTTTATTGAGTACCAGATGCCCCCCGGGACAAATGGCTTTGATACTTTTATACGTCCGAAACGTCCCTTTGTCTGATTCTTATCGACGACTATTAATGGCACTTCGTCGTCCTTAATGAATGGATACACAGCAATTTCATTAAAAAAAAGTTGCTGCTGCTCCAAGTTCATCCCAGGTTGCACCGTTGTGTTAATGGATGGTTTCTTGTTATTCCTTTATCTTGCCCGAACCGTTATTCTATTTCATTCATGAATGAAACATGCATTAATTAAAAAATAAATTAAACACATTCTGCTCGTTTCTTTCGAAAATTAGTGAAATTATTTATTTCTGCTAACAAGATTCACTTTATTATAACAATTAAAAACAATATGTGAGCTTCTGAGAATCCTTAAAATTTAGTAATTCTAGTATTTGTTAAAAAGAATTAACAATAGTAATTTTTCGCAAACTATGAAATACTGTGTAGATAAATGTTTGTTACTTCGGAAGCTACTTCTTCCAATGGGCCATGTTCACATGTGAGATATGCTGTTTTATAAATTATATTGTAATAGTTAGTCGCTATACAAGTTATTCTAAATAGTCAGTTCGTTAAAAAAGCCAAAAGTTTTTAAATTAAGCCCAATTGAAATTTAAAATTTGAAATTATACGTCATCGGGAATAGACCAATCATCTTGTGTCGAAGTTTTTTTTGTTATACAAAACCAAGCCAACGAACAAACCGACACACAGAATGTCGAAGTGAACGCACATCTAAGTGACATTAAAATTGACACCACCTAACCTTAGTTTTTTGTTTTGGTTTAATGAATCAGCTGGATTTATAAAAGTTGAATAAAGTGTTTTACCCATTGTAAACGAAAATATGATTACCGAGATGATTACTGCATTTTTTAACAATACTCAGTTTACAAAAGTCACAAAGGTAAGACTTTGTTTTAATAGTAGGTAGTTACAGTTTATATGGAGCAAGTAAAACATATTTATCTCAGGTTTTATTTTTAGATCTACCAAGCAAGAATATGGGGATACTTTCTTTTTCCATAAGAGAGAAGGAGACCAATTACACCTAAACATAAAGTACGGCAAAAACCTTCTGATGTGGTTGCATTGTAATTAACAAAAATGAAATTTTTAGTGCACAATATGCTTAGGATATGCTGCATGTCAAGGTTTGTAATATTTATTATGCTTTTTTGTATTTATATTACATATAATAAACAGTGTATAAGGCCCTTTATTCCTATAAATATTTTTTTTCTAATTTTGACATATAGACATTTTTTGTAATCGCAGCAAGTGTTAAAATAATCTAGAAACAGATTTTGTTAGTGAACCTAGTAATAATTATGATACCAAAGAATGCTGCAGAGCACCTATGAAATTTTGAGTTAAAAAATATGCCATATTTTTAGGCTATTTTTGTACCCTTTTCAAAAATTTTATGCTCCTCATTTTTTGCAAAACTTAAAATGCTCTATAGCTTCGAACAAAGTCAGCAAAGCACCTCTATTTTATAAAGTTTTTGCTGTAAAAACAGCAACACCATATATTTATGCACTTATATTATATTATATTTTTAAAAATACATGGTGCTTGCTAACCTTCGAAAGAAGCCAGCAGAGCAATTCGGTTTTTTAAAGCTTTTTTTCTAAAAACCACACCCCATTTTTAGAATATTTTTAGACTCTTGAAATATTGTAAAACTTTACTAAAAAAATTGCTATTTTTAAATAATACAGGGTGCTTTGTTGGAACAAAGTCAGCAGGACACTTCAGTTTTTTAATTTTTTTTTATATATAAAAACTACTTATGACACATGTTTAGGCTGTTTTAAAATCCTAAAAATGTGGTAAGTACATTTGTTTTCAGAAAAAAACTTTGAAGTCAGCAAGGAATTGCGAATTTTTTTTAAAATGCCAAATTTCGAATATTTTATAATATTGTAGGAGCCAAAAAACGTGGTGTGGTTTAAAAAAAAACTGGGGTGCTCTGCTGGATTCGTTTGAAGCTAACAAAGCATCCCGTAATTTTTTATTTTATAATACTCAAGAGCCTAAAATGAGACATAGCTGTTTAAACAAATTGTATTTTTAAAAATAGCAGTTTTTTTCGAAAAGCTCTATAATATTTCAAAAATGTGAAAACTTTTTTTTAAGTTTTAAAAATCCGAGGTTCTTTACTGGATTCGTTCAGAGCTAGTAAAGCTCTGCTCGTCTTGTTACATAAAATAAAGGCATTTTGTAGCTGGTTATATAGTTATTTTGTAACTGCATATCTAACCCTTTTATTTTTTTCAGTTGGTTGTAAATATGTGGCTTCATAGAAGAAGTGAGGAACCATCTGTAACATCTATTCAGTGTTATTGGAAAGGCTCTAATTTATCAAAATGCGTAAATATTGATGTACACTTGGCTAGATTGTTAAAGAAACCTCTTCATCCACTACAGGAAAATAAATCAGTACTTTTATATTCTTAGGATTTGTATATATATTTTTTATTTGTAAATAAATTGTTTTTTACTTCATTTTTCTCATTTTTTATTAAAAGATTAATAAATAAAATTTTCACAGATTTTTATATTTTTGTTTGTAAACAATAATTGAAGAGTTTTTATTAAAAATCACCAATGTTAATAATAATAATTTAAGTCAATATTATTCTTTCTCCTTTTTTAAAGCTACTATCAATAAAGGTATTACTTGCTTGACCTATGATCAATTTTTAAATTTTGTGATATATTTGGTTCAACAGAAAAAAAATTATAACCCTTTGACATTGGTTGTTTTTACTTAGATTTTCATAAAAAATAAACGGAACTGCAAACATGTTTTACTATCGTAATAACGAATAGCAACATTAAATTTTTTTTTTACATTTACCACTGTTGTCATTTTCATAAAGGATTGATCAGAAGGCACACTTTCTGGTTTTTTGAAAAAGGTAGCAAGAATTGTGATATTTTTAAATTTATCACCAGTGATACCACATGTAGTTACCCGATTTATTGGAATATATAGACTTTGCTACCACATTCAACTGAACTTGGTTGTTTTTAATATTTATCACTGTGACATAGGCGTTTTTGTCAAAATGTTTCATTTTAAACTGCTGTAAATAGGTGCCTTTGTTTTGGTAGTTTTAGTCCAAAAAAAATCTATGCATATACAAGTACTCATTCCTCTTTGATTTGTTCGAAAAGTTAAAATTTTATAAAAAATTACATTGGCTGTTTAAAAACTCATTATAATCCCTGAAATGTGATAATTAGGTAAATTAAATTAAAAAAACAAACAAAAAAAAATTATTAAATTAATATTTACTCTTACAAAATAGGTTCTTGTAAGTTAACAAGCAATTATGCAGATATTACTAAGTAAATGTACTTGCTTAAAATTCACACACGAATGTGGTTTTAACTTGTTAAATTAACTAACCCTTCTTATAACTCTTTCCACATGTATTCTTAGAGATGCTATTCTTTTACTTAATTGTACATCTTCTGGAGAACTTTTTCATTCTGTGATACACTAGGTGTGGCTTTACTAAAGTGCATCCCATGTTTTCAAGTAGCTAAATATTCTGAAACCTCTATCTGCCATTATATGGGATCCAGGAACCAGTTTGTTTAAATACCCACATTTTTCTATTATTTCTTTATCACTAGTTCTTCCACAAAATGATGAATAAATTCGGTATCTTCAAAACTTTCAGGAGATTCTGCATTTTCTTCCAGAAGGGTTTTTAGGTTATACACCTAAGAATTTATAGTAGCCTCATTTTCAATTTCCTGAAGGGGACAATTAGCAGAAATTGCTGCTACATCTTGATAATCCCGTGTATTTTTATTAAAAAGTTTACGAGAAACATCGCTAGTAGAAGGTTGATTTTCTTCTTTCCAAATTTCTAAGAACACTAATAAATATTTTTGAAGATGAATGTGAATCATTATCACATTCTGGAACAAAACACTTTTTCGTAGTCATAATATTTATTTATAAAAAGTACAAAATAAACACTCAAATTCCAAATAAATTATTGATCGAGACACTATGACAGATGACATACAGTGCTGCCGTTTTGCCATTTTCTGAATTATTAAGTGACTTTTAAAACAATAAAACTTTAAATATAGTAAAAGTTTAAACAGAAACAATACTTTCAAAAAACATTTGATATTATATATTTAAAAGATATTTGTTTAACGATGTTTTAGAAGTCTAAAAGTAAGAAGGAGTACACAAACGAACGTACATCACTTCTCGTAAACCTTCTAGCCGGCAACGTTGTGCGCTAGCTCCTATTGGTCTATTCCCGGTGACGTCATAAATTTTAAAAAAATTCATAACTCCGGCAAATGAATAGATAAAAAAAAATAAAAAAAAAAGTTGTTTTATTTTTAACTCTACTATTCATAAAAAAAATTTCAAAATTTTTGAACATGCCCCATTGTGTAGATATTTAAAATCGATGAGTAAATACTCCAGTTATTAGTTAAGATCTTCCTAGTTAACAATTATACATTCTTAGCATATTCTTAGTATAGTTTTTAAGAATATACATATACTGAGAATACAGTTTATATTCATTATAATATTCTAAATGCCTATACGTTATAGTCAAAAGTTAAAAATTATTTCTATTCCTAATCATTGGTTATTTATTTCTAGGAGGCTCAACGACTGAAGACCCTAGTCCACCTACTTCTCCTCGAGACAACCAACCCCATTCGAACAACAACCAAGAAAGCCGGTCCTCAAGACCCTCCTCCCCATCAGATCATCAACGTTCCCCTACTTCCAGCCCTAACAACTCAACCATCATCCCTTCCTCGCATCCAGCGTTCCTTGAACAAAACTACCTTAGCATACGATCCAAAAGTCCCTATAGAGAAAACGATAATTTGGTTATAGAAGAAGATATAGAAGATGAAGAGAGTGATTACGATAACGATAAAGACAAGAAAACGAGTAATTCTAGTTTGAGTCCGGGAAATTCGTTGTCGAATAAAAGAAAAAAGAAGACAAGAACAGTGTTTTCCCGGTCGCAAGTGTTTCAGTTGGAGAGTACGTTCGATATGAAGAGGTATTTGTCCAGTTCGGAAAGAGCGGGATTGGCTGCTAGTTTACATCTTACAGAAACACAGGTGAATATTATTTTCTTCTCTGATAATTGACGTTTCTAAATTTTCAATCTCTAGTTAGTAACGGCCACGATGAATGACATTATTAGAGGTGTTTTAACTTTCCTCAAATCCCATATAAAAACAAAAGACGATATTTGGATGGCACCTTAGATTAAAGAAACCAAAGATGTAACATTGCACATAGCGCATATTGTGTATTCCAACCTTAAGTAACCTACCATTTAAAAATCATTGTTTCTACGACGCCACCCGAATTGTTCCGACATTTCTCTGCGTGTTTGAATCATCATAGACCTTCGTTTTTTTAATTATTTGATGGTGTTATTAAACGGTTTTAGTTATTTAATTTTAAGTTGAAAATGTCACGATGGATCGTAAATAATTGACAGTTTCAAGAATATCAATAAAATAAAATTTGATTATTAGTAATATATTATATTATTTTAAATAGCTTAAAGTGATTCAGAGAATGAAGCACACCCTTATTCATTAAAAAATGCATTTTTTTTCATTAACATAGAAAAAATACCACACTGCTCACTGTACCTCGTCAATAATAGTCAATAAACGAAATGAGATATATGTATTTGTTATAGTAAAACATCTTATAAAAATAATAAGAAAAATAAGAAATTTATTCATTTTCCGTGATCAGTATTTATTAACGTTTTGACACGAAGCCGCCATGATCCTTTGGGCTGAATATTTTAGATCCGCATTAAGGGGTTTTAATAAACATTAAGCATCAAATATTTCAGAAAACAGATTTCATAGTACATACATAAATTTACTAAAGAGCAAAATTGTGAACATTTAATGTAAATAAGAAGAAAATAGGCATTGTCGGGCTGGCTTTTTTTTCTTGGGGCTTTAGCCAATCGTAGGTTCTCGTCAAGACATTTCAGTCGCACAAACTTCTTAAAAAATCAATATAGATAATCTAATAAACAAAATTTACAACAGTTGCTAACGAAATTTTGTTTTTTAAAAAGTATTTTTAAAAGAATATTTACTAAAGATGATTTTTAGTCCTTTTTGGTATTTTTATAGGAATATTAGAGGTTTGTTCCAACAACGATCAGAAACCAGTTATTGCCACCAGGATTGTGCGCAGTATGAATTTGGCAATCTAAATAATCTACTGCGCAGAATCCTGACGTCAGTGACTGTTTTCGGATCGTTGTTGGAACAAACCTTAGATAAAATACAGTGGATCTACTTAAAATTTTAAAGTTCATCTTATTTGCGATCAAATCGGACATGACATTTGAATCTTAGGTATTAAAACAAATTAAAACGCACAATATAATCTATAGTCTATTTTTATGTATGAGAGAGTAATAAAACAGCATTTCTAATGCAAAACTTAGTACGGTCATTTTGAATATTTTTACAGAATAATCTAAATATTTCCTAAAATTGTAATAAATGTACCTGAGCTATTACAAGTTTTGGGTCTTTTATTGGTCCTTTATAAACATAAGCTGTACAGAACAATAGAAAAAGGTTTGGACAGGCTAAAAGCCCTGTGTATTAAAGATTACATAGCCGTAACTTAAGATTATTTTCAATAAGTACCTATTTGCCAATTTTGTTTTATTTTAATTCCAAGAATTTCTTACAGTAATCGAATTATAAGTAGATAAATACCTTCCCAACAAATTTCACCGAAAATGCGATTAAAGGTTTTCCATTTAGTAAGGAGGTCCAAGTTGTGTATTCTTGACAGTTTACTAAATGTCGTTTAGTTGCAACTTGCAAGGTGCAGTGTGAATTCTAGTGTGATCATGGAAAATTTGGAAGGGCCGCGTAAATGACAAAAAATCGGTCCTTTAACAGTTAATGAAAAAACATTAATATTTAATTGTTTTAAATCATTTACAGACAAACATTTATGTAAAAGTGTTGATGACACAGTGGAATTAATTAGTACTACGCTTGGTGTTGAGAAATCTACGATTTACAGAGTTGTTAAAGAAGAGAAATGTGGCGAGTTTCAAAGAGCACGTAAAGCTCCAGAAAAACCAAAATTTCAATTAGAAAATCTTTTGAAAGAAAGACTTCGAAGGAAAGTCCATTCGTTCTTCTTTAGAAAAGAATTTCCGACACTAGACAAAGTTCTTGCCACGGTTCGAGATGATAAGGATTACCCTGAAATGAGTCAAAGCACACTATGGAAATTTTTAAAAGAAAAAGCATTCCAGAAAGTCTATTTTAATAGAAAGAAGCGGTATTGTAGTATGAAGAAGAAATTACCTAAGGACTATAAAAGAAATAAGAAACCAAAGAAGAAATATATTTTATTTAGATGAAACATGGATCAACGAGGGACATAAACCAAATAAATTTTGGCAAGATGAAACTGTTACAAGTCGAAGACAGGCTTTTTTAAATAATTTATCTACTGGTTTAAATCCATCATCAGGAAAGGGGCACAGACTAATAATATTACACATCGGTAGTTCAAACGATTTTGTTAAAGGTGGTTTATTGACTTTTGAATCTACTCGTACCGGTGACTACCATGAGGACATGAATGCTGATGTCTTTAAAGAGTGGTTCGAACAAATTATAGATTTTCTTCCTCAGAACTGTATAATAGTAATGGATAATGCAAGTTATCACTCGAGACTAATAGAAAAAAATGCCCACAACGAAGCGGTTAAAAAAAGATTTACAGAATTGGCTAAATTTAAAGAATATTAAGTTCCATCCCGGTTCTGTGAGAAAAGAACTGTATCATTTGTGTTCCCTTCATAAAGAGAAATTCAAAAAATATGAAATTGATGAAATTGCAAAAAATCGTGGGATGACGGTGGTAAGATCACCACCATATGATTGCGAAATAAACCCGATTGAACTGATATGGGCACAGATAAAGGGAGAAGTTTCAAGAAAAAATAATTCTTTTAAAATGAGTGATGTTAAACAGTTGTTTCTGGAGGCTGTAAATAATGTGAAGCCTGAAAACTGGGAAAAGGCAGTAAATCATACGATTAAAGAAGAAGAGAAAATGTGGAAGTTGGACAATATTACTGATGAAATGATCGAGCCACTCATTGTAAATATTGGTTGCGACAGTTCATCTTCTGATTTTGATTCTGATTTGGATTTGTAGGTAAGAAGTAGTTTTTATATTAAAATTATTATTTATGAACGTAACGTTGTTTAAAAGTCAAAGTTTAAACCCTTATACCTACATAACCCGTTTGACACAATGTTCTTCACATACCTTGTGGAAAAATAAAACATTTTAGAAAAAACTGCACTTTTTTACCTTCAGAAGTTATAAGCAGGTTAATTAGGTGAAAATATAAGTGTATACTCGAGGAATAACTTCAAAAAATATTTTAACTGTCTACTAAAAGAAATGATATGCCTATGGATTACGAACGCTTTATTATTTTAATACTCTCTCATACATAAAAATAGACTATAGTATAAGCAAAAAAAATACTAAAGTTACAAGAGTTAGTCACATTGTTAATAAAATGTTACATTATAAATTCCTAAACAATTCGAAAACATTTTTGTTTACCAAAAAATCTAAATTCTTGCAATATTTATTATTTATTGCACACATCGGCCATTTTTCATGGAAGGAGTTTTTAAGAACTTTGGTGAAAAAGAACAGTCAGCGCCAATACTAATGCAAAAATAGTGACTCGAGGACGTACATAGAGGGAGGGGGGTACTGACCCCTAAAACCCCCGTGGCTACGTCACTGATTATATAATCGAATGCGGTTTTAAAGAAAACGGGATTAAAAAATGCAAATCTCTAAATTTGCTCGGATATAAGCAAGCGACCGATAGGGAAAAATATTCGATTATTTTATTATTTTTTTATAAAAAATTAATTATCCGTTATAATTAATAAATTATTTTCGATTAATCGAATATTTTCAACAAATTATTTTCGTTTTTCAAAGGTAATAGAATATAATAGATTTTAAAGGATATACAAAAAGAAAATAGATTTGTTACATAAAGTATGATTAGTATTCATTAATAAATTAATGTAATGTGAGCCATTTCTGACCACTCTGGTCATGCTCTGATTTGCTGGGTACCTCTGCCTTGTTTGGGCCTTTTTAAGACCCCACCTGACCTTTAAACCTCGAATATTTGATGAAGGGAATAAACCCCCTTTACCCAACTATAAAGATTGCCTATGCTCACATATAGCCGGTATGAATTATTCATTCTGGAATGTACTAGAACCCTTTGTAGGAGAATATTCGAATAAAATAATGAGCGTTACAATGGCAAATGGAAAGTAAAAAAATTTGGTGGATGTTTTGGGACTCCTTCGCCAATTATGTAAATATACGTTTGCAGCTATGAACAGTCAGTCGAAGTCGAGTCATAGCAGTGAGAACATCGATAAAGTAAATGTGATAATAATTTATATAAGTAAATGTGGTAAATAAATTAGAAAGATAGATAGTGCTTAAGTATTAAATAAATTATACATAAACTATTTCAAATAAATTATTTTTAAAAAAATTGGATACAGACGTATCTTTTACTTGATAAATCTAAAACACAGTTCGTCCGCCAATATTTATTTTCACTTCAGTTTTTTGGCAACCTTCGGTCAATTTTTTTGTACTGTGCCCAATTTAGTGCCATATTTTAAAGAGAGTTGAAATACCTTCAAAATGTCATTAATAGTGGTCTAGGATTATTCTCAAAATGTGTTTTAAAAAAATATATATTTAAACTCAATTCATAATTTGTTTTTCATTCTTTCTAGGTAAAAATATGGTTTCAAAATCGACGAAACAAATGGAAAAGACAACTGGCCGCCGAATTAGAAGCAGCCAATATGGCCCATGCAGCTCAAAGGCTGGTCAGAGTTCCGATCCTCTACCACGAATCCGCTAACTCTTCCATAAGGCATCCTTTCGAACAAAATCATCCACTAAGTCTCCATCACCCTCTCGACAATCGAGACAATGGTAGCACTGGAAGCGCTTCCGTAGTTTCGAGTCCCGGGTATCCCAGTAGTTTGTATTACCACCACCAGGCAGCTGTCGCTGCGGCTGTTCATAGTTTACCTTCTAGTCCTGTCAGTAGGCCGCCTATGTCTGGTTTAGTATGAATGTAAGAGAAAGATAGTTGACTTGTTTGTGATAATTTGGGATATATTAACGAATGTGTAATTTATTAAAAAATTGTTGTTTTAAACTATAAAAAATATGGGAAATAATTCCAAACTCAAATGCGACTGAGATGTAAAATACATCAAATAATTTTCAAAGCCATAGTCACAATATATTGTTGTAACTATGGCTTTGAGAATTATTTGATGTATTTTATAAAAAATATTCCTAATTAATTAATGGGTGGCTATGAAAATAATGCATTCCTTTCAGGTATGTATAGGTCTGTCCCAACAACGATCAGAAACCAGTCACTGACACCAGGATTCTGCGCAGTATATCATTTAGCAGTCGAAATAATAAATTGCGCAGAATCCTAGGGTCAGTGACTTCTTTCTGATCGTTGTTGGAACAGACCTAATATAGTTTATTATTTATAGTTAAATTTACATAAATAAAAATCTGGGGAAATTTAAAACAACTGGCAACATCGCAAAAAGATACATAAACAGAACAAAACATTATTTACTTAGTTTATTACAAATAATAATGAAAATATGTGGCTTATACGCCTACACAAATACATGAAATTTTTTTAAATTTTTTTAAATTTTTTATGCAAGTTTGGTGGCAATAACAACTCGATATTATTTATATACAGTGTATTGCATAAAGTTAAATCCATATGTTATTAGTTATATTACTTAATTTGCTGTGATTATAATTTATTGTCTTTATACAGATATATACAGGGCCGACTAGAGGGGGGGGGGGGTAGCCGGGACTAATTCCCGGGGCTCGGACTCAAATGGGGGCCCGGCAGCGGTATAAGGGGGGCCCGACAACTGGATTTTTTGTGTTTTGCATGAGAAATTCGACACAAGACGAGAGGGGGAAGTTTTTGGTTGGGGAGCCGGCTTTTTTTTTGTTTATTAAGATAAAGCAATTCAAGCATAGGAGATATTTTTTTTTTAGAAAAAGTAGAAGAGGCTAGATCTAGAGAATTGTCCTGGGGCCCGGCCTGGCTCTCGGCGGACCTGGATATATACATACTTAGCCTAAAGAATAAAATTTGTTTTTAAACGAGTTAACTGAAGGTGCCCACACAACGTTATCAGATAAATTGTTCCAAACAGAGAAAACTCGGTTTGAAAGAAAATTTTACCTAACTCTAGAGTTAACATTTTCCTTTTTTAATTTGAACATATGTCCACATAGGCGCATGTCATTATTTAACAGAGCTGGGACGAATCCTCAAAAAATTGATTCGAATCATGAATCCGAATCACTAGATGTGATTCGAATCAGGGATCCTATGTCCGAATTTTTTTACAAAAAAAAGACTCGAATCAAGTGATTCGAATCCATTTTTTCGGATCACGAATACGAATCACTGTCAGTGTCATGCCATGGTATTATGTATGCTTCCGAATCTAATATTGTCTACTATCAACTATGTGTCTATTACGGACTATGACGTGGTTGATTCTAGAAGATGTTGAATAATATAAACTATATGTACCATAAATAAATTAGAATCTACAAAAAAATTATTTTATTTTTGTTAGCATTGAATTCAACTTAAATATAATGCATTATGCCGCTGCGTTAACAATAACAAGGATATCCAAGTGGTTATATACTAGGCAAGCGTTGGAGACATATTAATCACGAGCCTTGTACTATACAGACCGTTTTTTTATAACTATACTTGCATTGAAATTGGGTTATTTTATTATTAAAAATACAAAACTATAAAACCTAATAATTTTAATATAAAAAAAACAATGAAATAAAAATGTCCTTTGGTTGGCCTTAAGGCGGGTACAGATCTGAGCACGTACGCGTATGAGGCAAGCCGAGGACGCATGAGCATGCAGATGTAACGGGCTTCCGAGGCGCGGCAAATTCCTCGTTGTGTGCGCCGTACGGCTTCGCCCCGATCCGTTTATTGACGGTACATCAAAGGGAGGCAATACGCAGTCAGGGTTGCCAATCTGTGAGTAATTCCTCACATTTGTGAGTAATTTACTAGTCTGTGAGTAATTTTGTGAGTAAAGGGCAATTGTGAGTAATATGTGAGTAATCGGGAAGTCAGCGTGGGTATATTCATGGTAGTTAGGCAAAATCCTGATCAGATAATTTATTAAAACCGTGTTCTTTTTAAAATTTTAATATAAGCCTTATTTTACCCCCCCCCCCCCCCCCCCCCAGCACTTTTAGCAGTCATTACAATTTTATAGTTTTAAAATTGCAACGTCCTCTATTGCTTGGTCAATGTAAAAGAGTAATTTTGATATTTTACAACACTATAGGTGTCGTGTCGATAGTGGATAGTCCCATTGGGACTGTCCCAATCGTCGATTAATATATTTTTTTTGTTCGTTTTAAAAGTATATATTTTTATTAGTAGATTTTTTTTAAGTATTAGAATTATTTAATGATTTATTATGATTTGGCCCGTTAATAAAGAAGCTACTCTGATTCTCCAAACCTTTTGATCTGTTTTTTGTTCAGCTGATGACAAAGATGTTTTATATACAGGGTGGTTCATAACTATTTGGAACATAGGCTAAGGGCAGGTTATTTGTATCAAAATATGGGGATAGGGCCAAATATATACCTTAATAAAATATTGCTGTGGAATAAGATACAGGGCGTTAAATAATATTAATAATAGTAATAATAATAATAGACTATAATCTAACAGCAAATTATTTGACACAACAAAGCAAACTTTTCATAAATGAAATGTTTTGTGAGTTGTTCAATTGCGTTTTTCTCGAAAACGGGTGAAATTTTCTAATCAAAAATACTAAAAAGTTTCGTAAAAAAAGCTATTACTTAATTTCATCATCAGGAATCATTCACGTGGCGCCTCCTGTAACAAAATGTGAAATAATACATAAAATATTATTCCTTGTCGAAAAATATGCCTTTGTGCCAATTTTGATATCAATTCATAAATATACAGTGACATCAGAAAAAAACAAAAAAACAGTATTCAAATTTAACGCCCTGTGGGGTCTATTCTGTAACAATTGCTTTATATTTAACGGCCTTTAAAAATATTGGCGACCTTTAAAAATATGTTTGTATTCGTTAATTTACTTCTGTCATTATTTAAACAGATTTCTTTAAGATAGTCCTCTAATGTATTTTAAAGATCCGTTTAAATAATGACAGAAGTAAAGAAGAATAGTATATTATGCAACGATCATGTAATGATGGTTATTAATACACGAGCATTAACCGGGATACGAAACGAGCCAAAGGCGAGTTTCGTATGGTTTATGCGAGTGTATTAATAACCATTACATGAGAGTTGCATACGCTATTTTTTCTACACCCGATAAATAATCAAGAACTATAAATATTATATTCATATTGGTATTGAACACAATAACAATAATTACTCGTGTATTTCTATAAAAAATTCTACAAAATTGTAATTAATGGTATTACTTCGGGTATTGGTATTTCCCTAGATTTTTGCGGCAAAATATTTTGTACTGTATTTTCTGCTTTCTCCGATATGTGTGGAGGAGTCTTCTATATCGCTGATATCAGACATTTTAATATTATAATTAACGAAGTTTAGTTATCTACCAAAATTTAATACGTTTTGACAACTAAAACAAATACATAGGAACCTAGGACAAACGTCAAACAGCATGCTTGATTGAAAAATTGTAGGTTTCTATTGATTAAAAATCTGTATCGTAATGAAAAATCTGTATCGTAATGAAAAATCTGTATCGTAATGAAAAATCTGTATCGTAATGAAAAATCTGTATCATAATGGGTATCATTATGAAACGGATTATGGGCATATAAGTGCATTATTATAATACGGGTGTAGAAAAAATATTTTTAAAGGCCGTTAAATATAAAGGAATTGTTACAGAATAGACCCCTGTATCTTATTCCACAGCAATATTTTATTAAGGTATATTTGGTCCTATCGCCATATTTTTATCCAAATAACCTGCCTTAGCCTATGTCCCAATAGTTATGAATGAATCAACCTATATATTACTTGGTTATTAAAATAATGAATGAACAGAAAAAAGGTGCATCTGTTTTGACTCTTGTATGTTCTGAAAATTTCTCTTTTAATGTTTGGCAACATTGCACAGTAGTAAAATAAATTCAAACCAAAGTGCAAGAGTACGAAATATACGATTTATATAAAAAAAAACTAGTAATATTGATATTTTCAAGTTGTGAGTAATTGTGAGTAATCCGGAAAAGTTTTTGAGAGTAAATTGGTAAGACCGGTTGGCAACCCTGTACGCAGTATGTGCTCAGTCTGAACGGCGAATTTGTAAATACATCATAGAGCATATTATTGCGAGTTTTCAAGGTTTATTTTTTGTGGAGTGAAATAAGGGAAACATTTTGCTTCTTTTGGATTTATATATTCAGCGAGATATCATATGGAAAGCAAAACCTTTCTATTACAACACAATAAAGATTAATATGCTTGGCCAAAAATCGGTCATCAATTCTTTTTTCTTCAATATGTCGAATAAAATAATAAAACAGACACGTAACTCCGCGACTTTATCCTAATCCTTCGTTTTTGTTTTAATTTTACGAGAGTTCTAAGTGTACGGTTCCGTGCTTGCGAATTCACTGGATCAGTGGCGAATAGCGCCTTATGCGTCCACTATTCGTGTATATAAATAGCGCCGCACGAGGCATTCGGTTCGCCTCGACTTGCCTCATGTGCGTACGTGCTCAGATCTGTACCCGCCTTTACATAGCACCAAAATTTCAAAGTTTTCATTTGTCATGCCGTTTCTTCGAGGTGCGTCGATTGTACCTGTAACCAAAAATAATTGTTCAACTTCACCAGACGAAGGAAGGCAAGTTCTAAATTTAAGGATTTTGTTTATATTGGATATTTATTGCTAATTTGTAGTCTATTACGTTTATCTTCTAAATATTCAAAAAGGATCTTTATTCTCAGCCTGTTCCAGTTATACGTTTACACTTCGCGACAAGCCAAAGCTTGAGTCGACCATTAGAGCTGGCGTAGTTTGGTCTCTAAAAAGATCCGATACTACTATTTGTGAGTCAAAGACTAATCGGTCTGTAATTATTTGGGTCAAGCTTATTGC